ATAACTCAAATCAATTTTATTGATAATAACAATGAGACAATGACATAACTCAAATCAATTCTATTGATAATAACAATGAGACAATGACATAACTCAAATCAATGCTATTGATAATAACAATGAGACAATGACGTAACTCTAATCATGCTATTGATAATAACGTGACGATAATGACATAACTCAAATCAATGCTATTGATAATAACAATGAGACAATGACATAACTCAAATCAATGCTATTGATAATAACAATGAGACAATGACATAACTCTAATCAATGCTATTGATAATAACAAGACGATAATGACATAACTCAAATCAATGTTATTGATAATAACAATGAGACAATGACATAACTCAAATCAATGCTATTGATAATAACAATGAGACAATGACATAACTCAAATCAATGCTATTGATAATAACAATGAGACAATGACGTAACTCTAATCTATGCTATTGATAATAACGAGACGATAATGACATAACTCAAATAAATGTTATTGATAATAAAATAATACTATAATACTGGTAGCATAACTCAAATTAATGCTATTATTAGCGATTGTGTACAACCAAATAATGCAATGCAATTGTTCCTCTTGCATACATATTATTATATATCTAGCACCAATATATTTTGCAGCTCTGTAAAAAGCCACATCAGTACTCATTCCAAAATGTTTGAGTTTTCCCTTATATGTGTAACTATGTCACAAACATTAACAGTCACGATTATTGGTGTCACATTCAAACACTTCTCTAAACAGTAGAATCACGATATAGAAAATCCTGTAGCTGAACACAAATATTCCCACAGAGCAAAAAAATGATGATGTTGTTGTCATATCAAGCTATAGTCTGTCATTAAATTATTACTACAAGCAAAAAAATGCATCATAATAAGGTTCTCTCAAAAATACCTCAAAGTATGCAGGATCATGTTGACCTTTGCTACATGTTTTATGATATGATCTCCCTTCGTGCATACTTCATGGTATTCTTGTGATAATCTCATAAGCAAATGCTATAATGTGTTATTGATCTGCACCAATTGGAGGAAGACATAAATTGAGGAATAACATCCCACTGAAGACCAGTATACTATGAGATATTGCACAATTCATGGCATATATGCACAAGCCGCAAAAAGCATTATTTTCAAATAGTGCTTGGCGATGAAAACAACACAAAAATACTCCTAATAGTAAAAAATTAACCTGTAACAACATATTCTGGACACATCTGAATATTATGGGCCCTTGAACTAGCATTTTACTCTTTGACATACATCTATAAAGAAAAGTATCTCAATAAATTGGCTACCAATAAGATGACGTACATAAATGAGGTATTAAAGAAGTGTGCTACTGGATAAAAGGCTTATTAAAAATGCTAACTAGCATTTGAATAACAGGCTAGAAATTGTAGCATACTTAAAAGAGTTAACCCACAAAGTAATAATTAAACTCATTTCTCCAAAACGGTAATCATTTATTTTGCCTGTTGGTTATAATTGGCAGTAGTGCTTTAAGTGAACAAATCTATTTTAAAAGCCATTACTTCATTTTTTTTTTTCTGATAAACGTCAGGATATGTGATGCTATCTTGTGACATAATATACATCACACACAAATTAGGAAAACTGATTGTCACTACCATTTAGTAGTAATGGCAAAACATTATCCTTGTATTGCATCATTATGTTCATAATTAGTGGTAATTAGGATATAATGTAAATGCATGACTTTTGTTAATGGTTTTAAGTTTCATTTTAAGTAGTTTATATTAACGCATTCACAGTTACTAGTTTTAGTAACCGTGACGCATTGTATTATTTTGGTTCAGTGTGTTTAAACAGTGTGTTCATGAGCAAATTTTCTAGCAATGTTACTTCTAGACAAGGGTCAAATACTTTGACTGACTGACAATGTTAGGTATAAACATGATAAATGTGCGTTAATATACCAAACAGTAGACCAAAATGTGTTTACCATATTCCATTGGACTTGCATGCACTGGATCTATGGGGATACAGTTTGTAGAAATTTTGTAATAGTAAAAATAAATTAATGATTTTCTGCTGTGGTTAACACCACAAAATAATGGAATTTTACACGATTCATTCAGCTGATGGGAAGAAAGCTTGTAGTGGTGTTAAAAAAGCAGGCTTCAAATACATTTCTGAAATCTCACTGAGTAGCAAATTTGCTTGCTTACACATACAGCATTGGTGTTTGAATGCGACGGTAGTATTAGAATTATCTCTGAAGTTCATAGACAAATTGGATAAGTATCACCTGCTGTCTTGTCCCATCCATCGATCAATATTATTGATTTAATTAAAGACACAAACCATTTTAGATATGATTCCTTACAGATGACACCTTGTCTTGTCTCACCATCTATGGATACTGATGGACACATGAATGGATTGTGTTATTGATTGCTACAACTTATGTATCCCTAGTCTCTGTTTACTTTAAACTCTCTGTATATTGTAAAGTGTCAGTTCTTATTTACAGAAAGCAGCTGACTCATAAAAATACTTAATTGCAAATTTGCTCGTTGATCTTAAATTACGACATAGTATTGGGCTCTCTCTAATTTTAATGATGAGTATTTCCATTGACCACTAGACATTGATGAGTTTTCACACAGCCCAGGAGGGACTATATTTTAAATAAAATATTATGTTATTTCATAAATACTTGTGTCAAGTCATTTACAAACTACTAACATGTGTTTGTGTCTTCAAAGATTTTCGAACAATGAAATAACAAATTGTAATAGCTTGCTTGGCCAAGTTGATAGGAGAGCGTGCAATGTCATTGCAGTACATTGATAGAAATTTTATTTCTAAAGGTGCAATCAAAACAACAATATTATTATTATTATTATTACCACATGCTTTGCCCCCAAAACCTTGTAACACACATCCCACATTTTTAGTCCCCGTTCAGACGCAGTCCGAAAACAGGGACTTATGTTTTGATGTTCATGTGTGCGTGCGTGCGTGCGTGCGTCCGGACCTGTATCTTAGAAATGCCTGGACCAACACAATCAAACTTCACACATATATTATACAACATGGTATTATACATATGCACGTCAATTTGTTTTACGATCTGATTCAAGATGGCCGAATGGCGTCCATTTTTGTGCTAAAAAATCCTAAAAATTAAGCATTTCTCGTCTGTTTACAGATGGATTTTGTTCAAACTTGGTATATACATTAGACATTATGGGACCTTGATGCAAATAATTTTGTTTTTCAGATAAGAATAAAAATGGCCGACTGG